AGAATGCCATCATTTCTAGATTTTAGAAAAACTGGTGCATCTGCTTAAGATATCATAAGTTTATGGTGTCACTTTACACTTTTGATATGTATGACTTTAATATGAGACAAAGGGCAAGGATCTTTCATAATCTTTTATAAACTAGTATAAACAAACTAGTAGGTAAATGTGCCATCATACTGGTGTGGCAGTTTTAACCACAAACACAGAAACGAAAATGATAGAAATCATATTGATCTTTAGTAACTCACATTGCATCCATATTAATAATAAATGTTACAGGAGCATCATAAATATGCAAAAGAGCAACACATCAGCCTACACATCATCAGTAATTTGCAGGCTTACACTCATAGGAAACCACTAATGGAAAGCAGTGCATTTTCTCTTCTATGAATAGTCAAATGCCATGCATAATGCAACAGTGCCACTGCTAATAGCAGAGTCAGGCTGGATCGTTTAAATGTGTTATTATGAGCACGACAAATGGATATTTCCATTGCCCCACAATAAAATACTTCTTTGCCTTCACACTCTCCTGATTCTTCAGTTATCTCCTTTCCCCCATAGCTTGTATATATAGGAAGTACAAAAATGGCTCTGTTGGTATTTTAAGGTACTTATCATTTTCTATCACATTCAAGAGAAGGATGACCCATGAATACCAACAACAAAAATAATCGAAATCAAAGTTAAAAGTTCCTGAAGCATCCGAGGTTTATCCAACCACTCCTCATGGTACATGTACATTACTAAAACATTCCTTGTTTGGGTAAATGATCTTTGGAATTAGTAAGATTTAAGGTCCCAATTAAGTGAAAGTACACCCCTAGAGAGCAGGTGCAGGGTGATTGATTAAGAGCCCCTAAACATACACATAGGGTCCCTGGTGGCACTTGGTAGAGGTGTTGGCCTGCTAACTTCAAGGTGGAGGATTGAAACCCACCAGCTTCTTGCTGTCTGGGCGAAAGTTTAGGCTGTCTGGTCTTGTCGAGATTTACAGTCTCAGAAACCCTGTATGAGGTAACTTTGAGTAGGATTTGGTACCATGGCAGTTAACGTGATCTAGTGGCACAGTGGCTAAGCACTCTTCTGCTGACGGAAGGTTAGAACCCAAAAGTCACCCGGTGGGAGAAGGATGTGACAGTCTGCTTCCATCAGTGTTTACAGCTTTGGAAGTCCTGTGGGACAGGTCTGCCTGCCTACAGGGTCACCCTGAGTTGGCATAGATTCCATTGCATGAGTACACATAAAATCAGTGTTAGAAGCTTCAGAAAAATGCTTCAATGAGCTTTTGGAGGAATTCCAATAAATATCAATATGCTGAGGTTTGCTGTTGAGCCACAAGTTTTATTAGTTATAGTAGGTAATTTCCAATATGTCAATTAAATAACTCCAATGTTTGAGCTCTATTTTGGAATCTCTGTGATTTGGGGGTTCCTAGAGTTGTAGAGTATTATTCTAGAACTTACTGATGACTAAGAAATTACTGTATTTCTTTTGTTCATTTGTCTTTACATAAGAGTACTATAAAAGAAACAATCAAGAGTAGAAATGCCCCACCTAGGAGTTTTAATGTTTTGTATTGAGATAAATAAATACTTATTGCATAGTCATATGGAAAAATATAAAACTTGAAAATTAACAAAGGTTATTCATGAATGAACTTAATGGGTGATACATACTAAAGTCTGAAATATATGTATCATACAATCATAACATATTTTCAATAAATATTTTTAATTGAAAAAGGGAATTTTTAAAATAGCAT